AATTGCGGAAGATTTGGTGACTCTAAAAACGTGTGTAAGTCTTGGACACAGTTAGTATGCGACATTATTGAGTGTTTCCTGTTTTGTTGTTCCGTATACTGAATTTAACAAGAACAGTTTTTATTACATTGCCTACAAGCTATATACAATGTTTCATTTCCCGTGTGCCGCGTAACGCATATAATACATAAGAGGCAAGTCCTGATGAGCATGCGATGTTGAGTAGTTTAATGATGTATTAACCGCATAACGTCGAAACGTGTGAATTGTAGAGTTTTACTTCACTCGTGGGTTTCACGACATTTCGTTATATTTGTCAAAAGTGGAATATTTGAAGTACCACTAAATGCTGTGCTAATGGGTGGTTAATGTGTTAAAATAAATCTTTTTCCATCACGTTGAAATCTGATGTAATTAACAATTTGTGGTATGTGAATGTTAAGAAAATAAAATTAAGTTAATTTACATATCACAGGTACCACTTATTGAACAAAGTTCCTGTTTTTGAACAACAACTCAAAATTACTCACTTCCTTGTGTAAGTGCCGGTGAGTCTAAACGTAGCAAGGGCAGGTGACAAGTAAAAACAGTTGGTGTCAAAATGAAGGTGTTGACACCATACATTGAAAAGACTAAAACTGTCTGAATCAAAACATTATAGTTATATTAATTTAAATAATTCATACACACATAAATAATTCATGTATGAATAATAACTTAAATAAATATGATTTTTCTTGGTAAAAATATTGTATATTCTGCATGAAAACGTAAGAATTTCACAATGTCGAAAACAGGAAGTCTTTATCACAGTGTTCCATGTGTTATGTTCGAAAATCAAGTTCTTCAGGTAGCATATTAGTCGAGAGTGGTCATATAGCACATATCAGTGACAATATTTGATATTTTAATGTGTTTCTAATCAATTGGGTATTATTGACCTTTAATATCAATTATAATTTGCTTTAATGAAAATCCTTGTTAAACTTCAGCAAAGACAATAACTCATGTTCAACATGTCATACCATATAGTAGAAGTAAGTGTACGTAGTGTTGTTTAATATTTATTTTTTTCTGCCACGTTATATTATCTAGTTCACGTGGCGGACAATGAAATCTGGAAATGTTGGTCATCGTAGTGGAGCCCATAACATAAGGATAAAAGAGGTGGCTATCTACAATCGGAATCCGCACAGCTGAGCTAACTGGCTCTTTAATTTTCTCCTTATAAATCTGAGGCTGATTTACAATTTACCCTCCTACAGCCAGCGAATACCAACATTGCACCATGACCATAAAACACCCCCTTCTTCAAATAGTCTTACGATGCTATACTATATAAACACACAACTCTTTGAAGTTACACTGGCATACTATGCTTACCAGATATTATATTGTCCACAAATATTCGGGCAAACATTAAATTTTAAAACGCGCGAAAAAAGGATTATGGGGATTAATATATACAGGGCTAGTTTCGGAGTTTCGGGGCTCCTTATTCATGTGTTACATGTTTCTATGCCAGTTTATCCAGCAATAAACCATACCGTGTTTAGCATCCACATTTGACTGTTTATTCTGCCATCAAGTTCAACCGAAGCGTATTCCTGTATCCCCCACATTGAGTCCCACGCGACGATAACAACACACGCTAAAAACGAATAGGCTCATAGATGGACG